GGGGGGAGGAGGGGGGTGGGGGTCGGCGGCGGGGCAGCTTGCACGGGGTCACTGTATTAGTTTCTACCAACAACAACAACAACAACAACAAGAAGAACAAGAAAACAAAAGGCCCCAACAAACACGCCCCATCAACACTAATCCATAGACCCGCAATGCTAAGTCCTCGCCAACCCCAGCAACCCTGCACAACTCTATACCTAAACCTGACCTTTCGCCTTCAACCCTGAAGGCCCCTACAGTAAACCTTCCCTGAGACTTGTGGCTATGCTCCTGGCTCCAGGTGGATTGCTGCCTCGGAGGCCTCCACCTGAACGGGAAAGGCTTCTAGGGTTTGGGTATGTGGGTTGTGGGCTTAGGATGTGGCATGTGAGGTTTCTGGTTTCGGGTCTCGGGTTGCGGCACGCGGCCAAAACAAAAAAACAACTCAGTCTCGTGTGCTACAGGCTCTGTCCAAGCTCATATTGCTTGCCGGGGTTACCGGAGTAGCAGAGGGCAAGAGACCTAACTCTGCGTCACCTTGGAGGGGCAGCAGCCCCACAAAAACATCCCTCGAAAATCCAAAAATGAAAATGAAAGCAATCACCAGAAAGGGCGGTGGGTGAAGAGTCTAGGGTTTTGGGTTTGGCAAATGAGACAAGTGACATCCATGACTGAATGGACCTGAATACCCCCAACGGCTTCAGAAATAGCATCACGAGAAAAAGGGCTGAATGGAAGGGAAGGCATGTTCTAAAGCCGGGAGTTTGACAGGTGTACGAGGGGGGAATCTTACCATGTAGGGAGCCGGCAGATAAGCATTGTCCTTGACCAGTCTCAGGGAAGCTTTGGGAAAACAAAAACCCTAATTCCGGCACCCAACGCGCCTTCGGCACCGGTACCTGCGCAACAGCCGCAAACAGGTGGACGTATCAAATCAACTCGGGTCTGCCAGGACTTTGTGGTGACAAGGTAGCCTGAAGTCTGCGGGTAGAAAACTGATCCCCATGTTCAGGATATCAGCCCAGTATTTTGGGGTCCCTGACGTTTTTCAGGTACAGCTCGTCACGATCTGCACCACCTGACATCGCATCACCTCGATGCATTGGCCCTACCAGATCCTCTATGGCATCCCCGAATACTTTCAAGCGGAACGAAACATGTCCAGAAACAGCAACAGTCTTAACAAACAGTGCTGAAAAACGCCTTGCCCATTGCTGCTCGCAAGGAGCCCGCCCCGTCAGCTGAGAAACATCCGCATGGGGCGTCTGGTTTTGAGATATCCTGACATAAATTCTGTGATGAGTTCTGACTGTCCAGCTGGCGTGAGTATTGCTCACTGGTAGGCAACTTCTGTCCGCATTCAGGCTGCTACCTGCAGATGTTGCTCGCAGACTATCGCCTTCCTGCTCTCAACACACATGTACATGCACTCAGTACCATGCCCAAATCAAGTACCCGGTGCTTGCGTCTACCTTGTAGCGAAAACCACGCAGTGAGTCTTCAGCTTGCTGCTCTTGAGGACAAATGCCACTACTGGGATGCAAGAGCTGCTCCAAATCATCCTTTTCATACATCAGCGCTGGTGTGGTAGAACACTGCTCCACCGAAATCTTCAGATAATCAGGCACTCTTGAACTGGGCACGCCCCTGAGGCTGACAAGGATAGCATCATGTGAACCCCCTACACCGCGAAGTCTGCAACGCCAAGCAAACCCGTGACCAAGTTTTTCCGACACATCAATCCACTTGTCCAGCTAGCCAGTTCACAGCGCATGCTCCTGCCAGCGCTGGCAATGAGACAGAGGCGGAGATCGCGGCGTTCTTAATTGTACTGCGGACTAAACTCTAAACTTGGCTTGTAAGGTTTGTCAACATTTTGAAGCACGTAGGAACAATACAACCCTTTGGGTTCCAACGTGGCGCTCGTATGAGAGAAGCTTTGCTTGCGAGAGAGCATTCAAATCACCGGTTGCTTCTCGCGCTAGTGGACGGCATGGCGGCGCAATTTGTTGGGTTGGCACGTTCCCTTGTCTTGCCGGTTTTGGGGAATCGTGCCCCCGTAACTGCGGCAGCACGGCTCTTAAGTTTGCATTCACCCTGGCTGCCATAGCCATTCAAGAACAACATGTATCAACATTATTCTTGCCGGTGCCACTCGCCACTGCCATGTACGATCCGCAACTTGCAAGGAAAGAAAACCCGGATGGGGTATTTCCTCGTTTGTTTCTGTTCGGCTCGAAGCAAGCTGAAGGGATCTGCCATCCTGTAATTCGTTTACCTTTAACATTGCACTTGTAAACAAGCAAGTGAATTACAGGATACACAGGGGGCCCGGTGTAACCACGATCCCACTCTCTTGAAAAGTATGAGCCACTGTTCCTGTGAGCATCCACAAAGCTGAAGTCTGAGGTCCTACTTTTCCCTGCTCCGGGGTGCTTTGGCGATTCTAGGAAGCTTAGGGGTCAAGATGTCAAATTCGGGAGTGGTGGGGCAACGTCACAAACACATCCGCGGCTGCGTTTGGAATAGCTTCTCGGCGAAACAGCTTGAACAGCTGGGGCCCAAAGTGAAGACAAACACGGCGCAACACCAGATTCTGGGGATCCGAGCCTTTCGCTGTAGGCAAAGCTTCAGAGCCTCGGGCACAAACAAGTTGGTCGGACCAACGTACTGCAGACACTTGTGGGGCCGTCCCAATTGAAGCCTGGCTTACCTGTCGGGACTGGAAGAGAAGAAATGACGCGGAGAGCAGCATCACAAAACAAATTCCTGCTCCGACCAAGCACGCTTCATCGCCGCAAACACTTCCACAAGAACTTCCACAACACTTGATGCTCATCTTATCCAGCTCTTGTTGACTCTGAACGAAGGCCTCCCGTACTTTTTAGATTATCCTGACTTGGAGCCCGACAAGTTGCCCCAAGGCTTCTGCTAGCCTTTCACCAGGCTTCTCAGTTGGGGGACCTTTGGGTTCTACTTGGAGGTCCCACGCCAATTCCGTCGTTGTTGTTGTTGTTGTTGCTGCTGCCGTTTGTTTTGGTATTGTTGTTGTCATCGCTGCTGCTGCAGAAGAACAACGATTCTGCTGAAGCGCCGCTGCTGAATGCTGCTGTTGCTTCTCCTCTCCCACAACCTCCTCCTCCTCCTCCTCCTCCTCCCACTACACAAAGTTGCTGCAATTGATACATGTGGCCAAGACAACACACGCACCGTCTGCCAAAGCGCAACTTCTGTGACATTCCACTTCTCTCAACGACCTGACCCTCAGTTTAACTGAGACAGGGACCTTCGTGAAGGTAGCGGTGGTCATTGCCAAACAAAGCTAGACTTCGAAGGCAGGCACAAGGCTTGAATGAAACATGAAAGCTCGGCTTCCACTGTCAAGCTTCCTACTGACATACAGAAGCATTCGCATGCATGAATTCCCCAGAAGGAGACCCCTCGATACACTCACCAGTATCCTCAGGCGCGACCAAAAAAAAGGCCCTAGCTCACATTAGCCGACACCCCGAGGCCCTGAAACACAGCCCAGGAATCTGCCCTCCCACCTACGCCCAGGCCCTTGCTAAGCAAAAATGGAATGATATATCCTCTAACAAAAGGTTCAGGGTTCGCGGGTCAAGGCTAAGGGTGTAGGACGTAGCCTGAACGCTGAGGGATTACGGCCGCCCCCCAAAAGAAGAACCAGCATATTTTGCACAAACAACTGCAATAGATGATGTTGTAATTGCAACTGCTTCTTTCCACATGGGCTCAATGTGGGCCGTGGTTCGTAACCTTTCAGGGCTGCATATTACTTTCCGACGGTAGCTTGACACTTCCTACTCTCAGTTGTGTTTTGGCGGTGTGGTTTACAACTGTAGATGCAAGCTTTGAAACCCTCCAGGGAGAGGTACAAGTACATGCAAAAAGCAATTAAAGGTATTTGGTTGGTGTCCAGGCATGTGCTGCTTCGGGTTACGTGGAGCTTAGGCTTGAGAAGAAACTCCTTCACAATTCTGCAGATGAGCCAGAATTCGAGCCCTGGACATTTAGGCCTCTCAGACGGAAACCCCAAACCTCATTCACCTGGAACATGCTTTGTGTGCACAAGGCTTGGGTCAGTCACTTTTTGGATCGATGGTCTCAGGAGCACGCGCTTTGAACTTTGCGAGTATGGACTAAATCCTGCAGAGGGCTAGATTCCAGGATCGAGAGAGCCGAAGATTACGGATCTCCTTATTAAATCTGTCGCTGTGTCCAAGATGAATTCCTCACTGGAAAAAGTACTGCGGCAGTCACTAGTAGGACTTGCTACTATGCGTCATGCAGGATTTAGCTTATCGACAACACAAATTCAAAACGTTGGCAATTGGCTGGTCGCCGCCATCTGGCAGGAAGGACAGAGATTTCATCCAATGCATCCCAGACTGTTCGGGCGCTCTTTAGGAGCAGAAGGAAATGAGAGCATTATTTGCTGCACTTGGTCTTGGTGTTCAGGCTGCTATTCTTACTCGTGTTCTCGCTCCCTTTGCTATTGTAATCATTTACCGTCACTGTCGACGCCTCAGCTGCTTCTGTTGCCACTGCTACTGCGTGACCACCACTACCACGCCACCACGGCCGCCGCCGCCACCACCGCTAGCACCACCAGCACCACCAGCACCACCAGCACCACCAGCACCACAACTACTGCTGCTACGGCTGGTGAGACAACGACTTCTATCATTGCCTTTGCTAGTATTGCCATGATCCTTTACCGTTCTTGCTGCTATTCCTTCCTAATTGTCTGAGAACATGACTGGTCTTCCTTCCAAGTGGCCTGAGAGCATGACATCGTGCCTTTGGCAGATATCAGAGGTTCTCCACAAGATGTTCAAGACCAAGCGGGGCCCTCAAAGGCTTTGAATGCGCCCGAGATGTTGGCTGTGTACATCAGCTGATAGACCCTGAAATACATAATTACGTATTCTGCACGCACACTTACACATATGTCAGTATGTGTCACTCCAATTTCTGGGTTTAGCGGCCGAAGAGGCCTAGATGGCTAGGCTGAAGGCTGCGAGGACGACTTCGTCGAAGATTGCCGCTGCAGTGCGAACCCTGCCGCCCTGCAGAAAAGAGTGCAGCCGATGAAGCACCAAATCCTGGAGATCCTTGCTAAGGGTTTAGGATTGGGTTTGTGGAATGCAGAATGTAGCAATGGCAGCACCAAAAGTCAGAAGAGCAATGACAACTTGTCAGAACCGTGCGAATGAAGTTCTGCGAACAATGTGATAGATGGTAGTCATGCAAAGCATCCCTCAGAACAAAAGTAAACATAATAGTACCAGCATTTGCGACTGCAACAGATGACGAAAACGATGCGGGCAGCAGCAGTTTGAAGAATACTGTGAGCTCTCCGTGACAATCAAAAGAACTAATGTTTAGAAACATAACAAAAGACAAAATCAGCATCAAAGTCACCACCACAATAAGAAGTGTAGCAGCATTAGCGGCAAGAGTAAGAACAACTGCCATCACATAGTCCTACTGTAGCTTCGAAACCAAAGTTTCTGCAAATATCTTACGGCATGGAAACCCTATGTATAAACAAGTGAGTGCAGCAGCCTCTTATAGCAGACCTTAAACCTCGGACCCTCAGGCCTACTGTAAACTCTAATACCAAAATCCTGAACCTCAGCCGTTGTAACCATGAGTCCTTGTTGAAAGCCTCTGGGTCATGGATCTTGCCAAGGACAAAGTCCTTGTCCGAAGGGAAGGATGCTTCGGCGTCGCGGACATCCAACCTAGTCAATGGTCTAAGATTTAGGGTTACAAGGCAAATGCGGTTGGGGTTTTAGGGTCTTGTCAAAAGCTCACTCATAGGCTCACACTTTAGAGCTCTGGTTGAAGGGCTCAAGCTTTAGCTTCTGCAAGGCTGATACAGATTGCAGACTGCTTCCGGATCTCGCAAGCGGCCCGTAGACAACCGTACAATCCTCACATACTCCAAAGAAGACCCTACATCATCTCCAAAAGCCTAGTATAGCCGCAATAACACTGATTTCACTTCCTATAGACAGTCCTGCACACAATTCGTCCTATAACAAGAATTAACAAAATAGACGTACTCTACCTACATACATACATACAGACATACATACAGCCGGACAGTCCAAAAAGCCTCCGCAATCCGGAACCCAAAAAGGAGGGAACCACAAATTATGGCCAAAGCAGCTGAGCCAAGCGATCCAAGCAAAGATCTCGAGCTGCTGCTGAGTGGATCTTGATGGCCTGTGCATGAAGATAAGCGACTTACGCAACTCTTCCAAGAAAATACTGGAATGATGTAGGGCTTCACAGGGATTGTGTAGGCTATGTACGAACCATACCGTGCTTGCAGGAGGGTATCACATGAGGCAGTGAGTGCTATTCATCATGCTAAAAACAGGTCAGCCTTTGCTCTTTCTTAACTCTAGGAACTCCGAAGACGCGTCCTCTCGCTCTTTATATTGCGCACAACACGAATAAGGCTGTGAGCGTTTGACATGAAAAAGCCTTAAGAGAGTTCTTGTCGATTCTTGCCAATCTGAATCTCTACTTTGGTTGGTGAAAAGTCCAACTACCGTCTGCACAATGAAACCAGCAATCGCCAAGACACACTCCCCAAGTTGATTTTGCAGAAATCTGTCCATCAATCAATCCCCGCGAAGCATCTCCGAAACATGACAAGGCCAATTCTCATTTTGATGGAGAAGCCAAAATGGGGCTTCCTGTTTAATTGAGAGAACGCATTTTCAGAGATCCAAATGCCTGCGGTAGGTGTATCTCACGTGCTTCCACCAGCTCGGCCAAACACCACACCTGACTGTTGCCGGTTCAAGCTTGAGGCTGTTGGGCTCAAGAATGATCACCCTTCAGTCTCCAGAAACATGTCAAATAAACTGTTCTAAGCATAGCTCAGGTACACGCGTCAGGAGAGAGAAGTCCGCCTCCATAGCAACCACTTGCTCAAATCTTGCCTTACCTTTTGCACTCCAGGAGTCCTCCAGGTCATCTTCGATTGTGTTGGGGAAGGTTGAGATCTAGGCTTTGGAGTGTAGAGTCGCGGGTTTAGGCTTTGGGGCTTAACATCTGGGGCTTGGAACTTGTGGTTGGGGCTTCAGGTTTGGGGTTGAGGACATTGCTTACGACGTGTCATAGGATTGCTCATGGACAGGATCATGCAAAGATCGCATAGGGATCACACGATATATGAAGTCGCCTCTTTGCGTTTGTAGATGTCAACAAGAATTTGGAGTCCTTGAGGTAGGCCATCATGTCGTCGAATTTATTCATCTCACTAAGCTCCCCAGAAAAATGTTTTGCCGTTGAGCAGCCGCAGGGGGTTATGGCATACCCCGTGGAGTCGCTGGGGGGCGGACTTGCGCAGATTCCTGTATGCTGATTCACCGAGAAAGCGCAGATCCAGTAGCGAACATCCAGCTGCCCTCTCTTGCGCAAGGCCTCTGTCAGCGTCATGAACTCGCGATGCGCGAGGCTTTGCGCAAGCTCGTCGTACTTCTCTGCGTTCCTTACTGGTGCTTCAGGGGAAGTGGGGAAGACGAACACGCACACAACTGTACAAGGACAGACAATCCTATACACATCCTTACGCACCAGTGAGATTCAAGGCATCTGCAAGAACTGCGGCCACAAGGTGACTGAACTTGTTCCGCCAGCTGTGTGTCACCATCTTGGCAGCAAAATTTGCTCTCCCCCCGCTGACCGCCGTGGCATAGGCGTATCCCTCCATGTCTTCCCTTTCTTCTGATAGAATGCCACGGGAGGCACAACGCAGCTTGCTTGGAGAGAAGCCACTCCCAATGACAGCTTGCTCGTCTGCGTCAGTGCCAACATCTTCACCCGCAAGACCTCACTAGGTCTCGAAAATGAGGAGTGCAAAATTGGGGATTTAGCGTCAAGGCTTGGGGGGTTTATGGGATGATGATTTTGAGGGTTCACGGGGTTTTGGTCTCCCCATAATGTTGGCGCATACCCACCTGCCAGCATGCTAGAGCTTTGGCTCTTCATCTGTCTCCACAGGGATGTAATGCGGGGTCCCGATCTGGGCATTCCTCGGCCAAATCTAGAGGTGAAGGGTTTGGAGTTTCTTTGGAGACCTGGACTCGTCATGAAAATCCAAAGCTGTATCCAGGGAATTCATCAACAAACAGTAACGGCTGTTTTCAAACCTGACCCAGATGCTGGATGTTTGGATGATATGCGCAGCCTCTTTTGCCTCTTTTGCCTTCTCCAAACTTGCATAAGCCGTGATGGAAGCATAAAGCCAGCCACAACGTTCTCCATCCTCTGACGGGTTCTCGAATTGAAGCTGCTGTACCAGGCTCAACCCTTGCCAGAAACGCTCTGTCTCCACCGATAAACAGCCAAGGGGATCATCGCTGGAAAGAAAGTCGCGATCCCAAACACTCAGGTGAAGGCTGTCCTCGCCTCTGTACACGTCCTCCAGCGGGTAATCAGCTCCATGAAATTGAAGGGATGGTGTAAACTAAACAGACCCGTCTACTTGCAACCACGCTTTCACCACAACAGAGCTCTTTACATATACCGCCCTTTGCGATGCAAATAAAGTTGAGTGCGTTTAAATTCCGAAGCACCCCACCGACTGACATCAAGTTTCCTCGCACTGCCGCATATCTATTGCGATCATACACAACGCAGAGCTTCAGACTCGTAAATGTCAAGCCATAAACCTGTATAAGCAAAGGTCCTCCAGCAAGAAAGCTTCTTCCCAGACCGGATTCGGATCGTTCTCCACGCAAGATGTACGACCACCGCCTTTCCACACGGTTTTGGGCGTAGGGACAAGACAGGGATCGAGGTTTAGCGTTTTGGGGTTGTTGGGGGTTTAGGGTTTCAGGCTTTTGGCCGGACCTTTCCAAGGCTTCGGCAGAGCACTGGGCCCTTGCACAGAGACCACGCAGTAGGGGTCGGAGCCAGACATCAGATCCATAGTGGCAAGGCCAGTTGCCCGATGTACCTGGGTGTGTGTAGAAATCATTTGAAGCTTAAGGCTGGGTTTACATGCGTTTTTTCAAAGCATCATGGGATTTTTGGTAGACTTGACATCAAACTGTAGATGTCTTCCATGGGCTATCGAGGTTGTTGTGCTGCACACCCCAGAACGGGAGCCACGCTTGTGATGCGTCCCAGTAAGTAGCTAGTCATGAATTAATCCAGACTATGACATCATGAGCCCCATGCTTGACCTTTCACAGATTGTCACAAGGAGAGAGCGTGGAAGCTCCTTAGCTTGACATAGCGGTCTGTATGATGCCCGCGCCATTATGTTGACGGAATCAACCCCTAATATCCTTACATTTTAACCTCAAGCCCTGTAGACCTAAACCCAATTTCTGTAGGTTCCTCATCCTCCTTTATCCCCAAACCTCAATCCGGAAGCCCCCAGCCCCAAACACCAAAGCTCCAAAACATCAACCCCAAGGCCTGAATTCTAAAAGCCCACTCCTCGACCCAACGCCCCGATGCCTAAATCCCAGTACCGCTGGGCACCTGGACAACGAAGCAGCGCGCCTCCCTGAGTTGCAGTGAGCGCGGGATGATAGCCTGCGGCTCCCATCTTCAGGTCGACATAAGGATAAAGATTCAGGAATAGAGTACAGGGATTCGGCATTACGGTTTTGCAAGTTGGGCTTGGGGTTTAGAGAGTAGGTTTTTTTCCGGCTTACACTTGACCGTTCGCGGCTCAGGAATCAAGCTTCTGAAGGATTTGAGGATTCGACTGTAGGCTCAGTTTGCCTCTGATTTCCTTCCTGATGATAATGAAGATTCGCATATTATCATCATTATCAGTATATGTCTGTTATTACTACTACAAGTACTGTGCTGTGTCGCATGTCTTTGGGGATCCATGGAGGCTGCTAGCAGTTGCTAGCTAACCTGGCTGTGCTGAGAACTATCCTGAAGCTTAAACTCCTAATCCCAAAAGCTCTTCACTCGTCTGTCTTACAGCAGGGAGCACAGAGGTGGGAGGAAGCTGGGCAGAGATTGATCCCCAGAAGAATGGTTAATTTTGCGGAGACAGTATGCAAGGGTTGTCAGGATGTAGCAGCACTGTGCAATGTACGCTTAGGAATTGTTGAACCTCCGTGCGCTTCTTCAACGCCTTTGCTTGAAATCTGGCCTGTCGCACGACGTCATGCGTTGTCGAACGGCTGGGATCGAAGTGCTCCATGCCTAGGGCTCTTTCTCTATGGCAGGCTGCCGAAGGAAACCTTGTATCTGTAGTATGACAACAAGGCACAGACCCCAAGCTGCCGGAAGCTAATCCCAAGATACCCTAAGCCCTTGGGCGGAAAGAATCCCAAACCGCAACCAAGATACTGCCGTGCCCGAGGCTCGCATAGAAGTCCAGCAGCTGGCGGATTGTCATTCCACGACCTTCAATCACATTGTAGGTTTTTTGGCTTAGGGCTGAGGTTCAGGATGTTCAGGGCGAAGCCATAGAAGTATCAGCCCCAATTTTGGTGGGTCCTGCTTGCGGGAGACGCTGTTCGTGTTGTACCCCCATATGTCGCCTGAGCGAAGTAAGGACGCCCTACGCCCTAAGCCCTTTTTGCAACAGACTTGCTTTCCCTTGAATGGCTCAAGGCCCGCCAGCCCGCGCTGAGCCTAAACCCTGAACCCTAGCGCTGAACCAGCAAATGCAAGACCCTGAACCTTGAGCAATGAACCTTATACTGTTGTACTTTTACCTTAGCCCCAAACCCTAAACCCTCGACCCTCAACCCCAAACCCTAACCCCGGAAACCCTGAGGCACTAGAACTATGAGTGACGTGGGGCCTGCGAGCTCTTGGACTTTCTCAAGCCAGAGCTTTGAAGCACCTGGGTGCAGGGTTGTCCGTGCAAGCAGGTCAAGAAGATGCAGGGCTTCCTGTCTAGGGCTTGCGGCATTTTAAGCTTGCTACGCGCTCCCAACTGTATGGCCATACATGGGGAAGGCTAACGCCGTGCGCGGGTTTCAGACTTGGGGGTTGCTGGTTTCGAGCTTAGCTTGAATCACATCCAGACTTGCGGAGATCAGGGTGCATGACTTAGGGACTCTGGTCTTAGAAATCTGGCTGTGAGGCACCTCCAGACTCAGAGGTTGACGGTGGGACGTCAATGCTGTCAGCACTGCGCATGGAGGAGAGCTGCTGGATGTCCAGTCCAAGCTTCTTGGGTGGAAGAATCCGGTCTCCAGAGCTTCCACACATGACCAGCTCAGTGCCCAGGCTCGAGAGCAAGCATGCAAGCAGCGGCACAATAACAATCTTTCCTCTCATCTGCTTTCAGGGCCAAACAGCAACAAACAAATCCCTTCGCAGACCTCATAAAAACATGGCGGCTCGACTTTTAGCCTGCATGCCGAGCCAAGCTTCGGAAAATCACAACTGCGAAGGTGAACATCCACTTGTACTCGTCTGCCTCCGCCAAGTTCGCCAGGAAGGCCGTGATAACCAAAAGATGCAAAAGTGTGAGAGCAACGCTGAACACCCAAAAGCCGGAGTCCTGGAGGGGTTGAGGTCGTTTAGGGTTCAGGGCCTGGTTGTCGAATATGGCTTCTGTCGTGACCATGTTGCTCACGTTCATTTGTTGATGTTTGGCTTGCGTTTGTGCCATTGTCGCAGTAACAACCGGCATCACTCATGTCGTTGTATGCGTTGCGTCCTTGCTGTTTGTGGTGCTCGAGAAAAGCATTGTATCTACACACAAACCATCAGCAAAGTTGGTATTGACATTGTAACTACTTCTGAACTACTCCTTTTGACAGTCCTTGCAGCGCCTGCGCCAGAGCTGCCAGCGCCGATGAGTGACGTCCTCCTGAACGAAGCTTCGCCATGCGAGATGAGTTTCCAGGCTGCCCGGGAGGAAGTTCAGGGTCACGGAAAGCCTGGTTTATGGTTGGATAATCACTAGAGGGTTGTGCTTGCCGTTTACTGGGTGTTGTTGTTGTTGTTCCACACGAAGGAAAACTTGTCACTCGACAAGGATTTGGAGTTTAGCAAAAGAATCCTTCCACTATCACTATCCCCAGTGTGCGCCGTTATCACCCTAACATTCCTGCACATCCCAAAAACTCCCAGGGCGCCCCCATGACAAAACATAACTGCTCAAAAAAGACGTAGGAACAGGGCCACGAAGGTGTACCACAGAAATGTTCCTTGCTCGATGGGGCACTCCGAGGGGCTCCTGGCAGCTACAGCCGAGCCATCTACCGAGAAGAAGAGGGCCACGAAGGCCAGGGATCCTTTTTGCTTGGCTTGGCGTTCGTCTAGGGCTCAAAGTGTCCGGGGCTTAATGTTTAAAGTGTAGGGGCCAGTGTAGGGGCTGGAAATTTCCGGCAAGGACTAACCCATAAACCCGCGTACGGGCCCCTAATTTTGGGGTCCGTATATACTTAAAGACATACCCTAGATGCATCCGCCAAGATACCTCGGAATCCATCCAGAAAAGGCTAAAGGCAACATTTGGGGCTCATACCTGCAAACTTAGTGAAGGCCAGGGTCCGAGAAGGCAATCCATGATGATTTTGGCCCTCTTCGCCGCTGTGATGTGCAAGTCGCAGAGGCAGAGCTCGTAGACAGGATGCGTTGTCACTAGCGCAGTCCGCAGCCGATGCCAGCGGTACTCATGCACTTTGACGAAGGCTGACGGCAAGCCCTGCTCCATCTGCATCGCAATCTCCTTCACCACCGTGATTGGAAAGAGATCATATACTGCTAGTTTGCCCGAAAATTACACCAGGATTCTGCGTGCCATAATTGCTAAGCCCCTGTACTGTAGATCTCCTTCATCACCGCAGACCTTTGTGTTGCTAAGCTGCCCTGGACCCAGCCACGGGTTCCCCAGATATGCATCTCGATGGAACTGTGGTGCAGCTTGTGCCTCCTCGCAACCTGGGTGGGCGTTTCTGGAAAGTCGGTCGGCTGCTCCTCCATATCCCCAAGTAAGCTAGGACGTCAGCAAATGGCCCGGAATTTTTACAAGAGAAAGCCCTGAACTCCCAATGATCCAGATTTTGGTCAACTCCTACCTCCCACAAGGCGTTGCAACAGATGGTGCGCTCAAGCAGGCTCTTTCCCAACCTTGGCTGCAGCCGTCGGAGCAATTCCTGCGTGTGCACGTCGGGCTCCATCACTGCCTGGGGTTGCTGTGGTTGTTGGTGGTTTTGGGTGTTTTTTGTTGCGTGCCGGTGAGTTGGGTTGCGGTTTCAGGTTCCCTGGCAGTCAGGAATCCTGGCTTGGCATTTCTTAGGGCTTAGAGTGCCTGGTTTGGGGTTTGGGGCACAGGGCTCTGGGTTGTGCAGCATCCCAGGCAGGCTTTTTTGCTGGTTTGGGAGAATATTCAACCATGATCATATCCCTCCTGTTTCGCTTCAATACGCATGCACAGTAAGAAGGACCCTTAATGGGGACCCCTGCAGGTTGCAGGGGCACTATGGAGACTACCTAGCCATATGGTGGGTACGTCAGCTACATAAGCTTTATGTAAGGCAATGAGACTAAGGGGTCCCTCCTGGGGGGTCGCTCCTATGAGGCCTTGAGCATGACAACAAAAGGTGTGGCTTCTACCTTCTATCAGGATAATCGATTCTTGTTATGATTGTCACTGTGTTGTCATCGCGAATGCATTGCTATGGTGACTCTGCATGAACAAAGGTCGGGGCGCTTCCATCTAGGCAAGTCTGAAGCCACGCAACTGCTTCAGCTTTTGAAAAAATGCCAAGTGAGGATTCTCTACTGCGTGGCTTATCCTCAAAGAGACGTGCCCATTCGGCTACCAGTTCCAGTAAACGTCCTCCGCCTAATTGTATTGTAAGCTGCCCCAGGTGAAAGTTCAACAGTCACCCAGCCACCTTCAGAGACGGACCGCGACACCGACCGCGGCACCTTTTGTCTTTGAAGGACGCCGGGGGCAATTCTGTAAGGAAGAACTCATCCCGCCTGATCACAGTTCAAGGGTTTCGGGCTTGCGGTTTTGCAATTCAGAATGAATCCCAACAGCAATACCAAAAAACTACGATGATGAGGTCCTTCTGGAATCTCAAGAGAGGATTTAGTTATCTACTGCTGTAAGTTCTTCATGTAGCTATAAGTTCAGAGTCCCAGAACAATAGCAACTGCAAGCGACAAGAACCATCATGACAGCGCAATCGATGAGTCTTCAGGTTGGCATGTTGCACACTTATGGCCCTAGAATGTTGAAACAACTTTTGCAGTCTACAATACAACTACATATGTATGGATAGAGATAGCATAATCTCCACCACTCTTCAGGCGTCTCTGTTCTACGCTTTTTCCATCCCTACAAACCCTGAGAGTTCACTGTACAATCCCCATACATATTAATACTACACCTCACACCGAAGCCGTCCCCTGAAGCCTAAACCCTAAACCCCTAACACTCAACCCCAAAAATCCTAACCGCCATAGCCCAAAACCCGCAACCCATAGCCCAAAACCCAGAACCCACCCTATACTAACCCCAACCCCTACACCCCAAACCCTACACCAGCAAGCCTACACCCCAAACCCTAAGTGTCTTTTCAAATCCAGGCCAGAGTCCCGAGCGGCGGACAAGCGCGTCGCTCAAACACCCAAAGGCCAAAAGTAAAAGCGAGCAGAGTAGCAACCTGGGCAATTGGGATATGGTGACTGTTTTGGGGTTGATGGCTTTGGATTTAAGAGTGTAAGTAGGGGTTAGGATTTTTGGGTTTGAGGCTCTAGGAATTACGGTTTTAGTTAGGCTTCAGGAATTGAGGGTTCAGCGTGTATGGACAAAATTCTGCATCACCACGAAGACTCTTGAAATTCTGGTGGTACCGCACACTTAAAAGATGTTGTCCCTACACGATAGCTGCAGTGTTTGCATTGGTGATGTGGAAATTGAAAATATAGAACCAAACAGATGGGGGATGCGAATTCAAGTTCCTCTGGGATTATCAGTCATGTCCAATGTGGCTTCATGCAGAATTTGTATATGGGTTTCCAGATACTAGCCACAGTATCGGCTTGAGAAGATAAAGGAAAAAGGGGCTGCAATCCAAAAGCCTTAATCCCTAAACCTTGCACTTCAGGCCCTGAGCCTCAAAATCTCAACCCTGAACCCTAAACCCGAAGTCCTAAACTCTTAAGCCTATAAGCCTTAATCTGTGTCAATAACATGAACTCAGCCGCAGCCAAAGGCCCAGGGCCGGCGGCCGGTGCCACCAGCCTGAACTTTACAATCGCGGTCTGATATAGGGGTTATGCAGGGCTAATGGAAGAGAAAATGGAAACCCCTAGTACGGTATATTATCGTATATTATGGTATATTATAGTATATTGTAATATGTTATAAAATATTATACTATTATATGATAATAAATCATAGTACCCGGGTCTAGGGATTGAGGCTTGCCAAGGGTTTGGCTTTCATGCATAGGGGTCAGGGTTTTGGCATTCGGGCTCTGCATTTGGGTTCAGGGTCTGGTGCTTAAGTTTGCATGTGGCCTTGCGTACAGCAAGAACAATCATGTAATGTGCCAATACAGCACGAACCCTAAGCATCAGCATGTTGTAGAGTCTCGGTGACAAGAAACCAAGAAACCTGTCCTCCTTAATCAGAAGTCATGCGGCTTGCTATGCCTTGAACCAGAAAGCCTTAACATGATCCTGATACACCGAACACACTGCTGCCAGCCATAGACTTAGCAATGAGCATGCTGCAGCATGCTCATAGTCACAACGACGACAAGCCGTCCGTCTCAGCAGGCATGGACGGAAACTAGCCGCCTTTAACCCTGAACACTAAATTCCAGGCCTAGACCCCAAGTCTTGAGCCCCAACCTCTGCGTGCCAAACTGCAAACCCTGGCCCCCCGCTCTACACTCCAAACCCTGAACCCATCACCCACGTTGTGAACCCCACGCCCTCGAAAACAAACCCCAAACCCGTACACCCTACCCCCTCAACCATGTATCATAGCAGTCATAGCAGCCCCTCCGCTCCAGGATCTCCTTGAGCCCGTCACTCGTCAACATGTTGGCGTTCGTACAGTCCAAGAGGATGTCTACAAAAGCAGCAAAAATGGACCTTTAGAGCGTTGTTCATTTAGAGGGCGTGGGGTCGGGGTTTACGGTGTAGCGCTTGGTGTTTAAGGTATAGGCATGCAGATTTTAGGATTTAGGAAGGGTCTGAGCGCTGAAATCAAAACTCGGCAATGCTAAATAACGATTCCTTCTTGGAACCGTATGAAGATGATCCTTTTTGCTCCATCTTGCGTCAACATGCAAAAATCTCACTCAAGAGCGACCCAGGGACAGGTGGAGCGTGGCACACCACACACCTGATGTGTCTGCATCAGATCCTGGGGTTTACGGTTCAGCGGTCAGGATTTGAAGCTGAGGGTTTAGGGTCAGTGCTTAGGGTTTGGGGGTTCGTTCGGAAACATGAGTTGAGGGCAAGTGTTTCCTGCTTTGTAGGGTTGCTGGTGTTAAGGTTTCGGGTTAAAGCTCTCTTGCTTCCAGCTTTTTTGTAAGATGCAGCAACTTCTGTGTCTACAAGCTTTTGCGTTCCAGGTTCTTGGTTTAGTTTCACATTACAGTGGCAGGATTATGCGGTAGCTGAAATTCGAAGTTCTTCGATGGCAACCCTACAGCATCCCTAAGTCACCACTTTGAACCTCCGACCAATCCGAAAGCTGAAACCCTATATTACTCCTTAACCCTCGACCCTAGACCTAAATCCCAGGCTTCACACTACGAGCAGTGAGCACTCCATGCATGAGTAGGAAAATCTAAATGCTTTGCGCCGCACCCTGCACCCTAGACTACACCTTAAGCCCCTACTCTCTGTACCCTGTACCTGTACTAGTAGCCGCCACTATTCCACAAATGATCTACCAAGCATCCAAAAGCCGTCTGCAGCTCTCCAGGGCTTGCCAGGCGCACACCTTCTGTAGACCAAGCCTCAGCAGAGTTTTGGGTTTGGGGCTAAGGTGGGTTTCGGCCTTATGGTTGACGATTTACGATCTAGGGCTAAGGGGTGGGAGCTTGGGACTCTGTTCGTCCGGGTTTCTTTCAGATTTGAGCAGTTCTGGGTGCCGGGTTGAGAGGCTTGGGAAAAAGACCTCAAGTGTGCTGAGCGTGACGACTAATTCCCCACCCGCGCTGTGGGGTTGTTAGATTTTAAAGTCTTTGTCGTCCTCGCCCGCAGTGCCCAACCGCAGAGGATCCCTACAGTGCCCGACTGCAGAGTACCCTTCAGTGCCCAACCGCAGAGTATCCCTGCAGTGCCCAACCACAGAGTATCCCTGCAGTGCCCAACTGCAAAGTGCCCCTGCAATGCCCAGCTGCAGAGTATCCCTGCAGTGCCTGGCTGCAGAATATCCCTGCAGTGCCCAACCGCAAAGTATCCCTGCAATGCCCAAGCACCAAGTATCCCTGCAGTGCCCCACGGCAGAGTTTTCCCCAATCTTCCAGGAAACTTTACATCTCTTGTCCAATAAGAGCTTTAGGGTGGGGATGCTCGAAGTAAAAAAATATGTTCACTGGTTTGTTTGGTGCATCTACTCTTCGTATTACCAGTTTTGTTGCAATTCTTATTTCACTGTTCGCGAAGTACGCTGACGAAGGAGGACGAGAAGGACCAGGAGGACGAGGAGCACATCGGCAACTCATAAGCAGCAAGCAACTGCTAGTCGCGCTAATACTACTAGTACTACACCCTCACCATCCGCCGCCACCGCCACCACCAGCACCACCACTAGCACTAGCACCTCCTGCGCCCTGGCCTCACCATTGAGGTATGCGCAGATCCAGTTCGGCTCCGGTGCAGTGAGCGAAATCCGCACATAGATGGGCGTCGTCAAACCGACA